AACCGCGGATCAACTCAGACATGAAATAATTTGTCCTGAACGTCTGATTTCTCGTCTTTGTTTCTCATCACTGCCACAGTTTCTGCCACAGTAACGACTCATTCTGCCCACGGCCATCAGACATGGATGGTCAGCTCCTCATTAGGAGCCTGTTGTAGAGCAGGCCACCACTGGGGGGCATTAATGAGGTCAGCTGACAGGAAGTTGGACGTGGACATGAACAGAGCTCAGCTTTAACAGTAAAACAGGAGAGACTGCAGCTGAAGTTAGCCAACCTTAGCATACTTTTAGTTCGAGTTCTATCCATCCCTCCATCCATCCATCCATCCATCCATCCATCCATCCATCCATCCATCCATCCATCCATCCGTCTGTTCCATCAGTCCAGGTCCATTAGTGACGCATCCATCCATCCATCCATCCATCTGTCTGTTCCATCAGTCCAGGTCCAACAGTGACAGTCTAACTAACTAGATCGTCTGGCTCTTGGACAGAAAAAGGTTTTTGTTTGTTTGATTTTTAAATTCCACTTTACCTTCTGTGACTTTCAGAACCAAATCCACATCAAGTCTAATTTAAAATCTGCTTCGAAAAGTGATGAAAGTGTCAGAAGATATAAAACACCGCAGCGCTGGGTTTTTATGGTCCCCGCTGCATATTTTCAGCTTAACGACAACATAAGTCAACATTGGTCCTGTCTGCCACTCTGTTTAATCCAGACGGAGGCGTAGGAGTGGAATATAAAAAAAATATAACAATACAGACAAGAAAATGATAACGTTTCACACTTTTTCAACAAACAGCAGAAGATAATGTTAATTATTTATTTAAATTATTTTTTCTTATATGAACTTTATTGATCCCACACTGAGAAAATGCTTGCGTTAACAGCTGCTCTGCTGCAACAGGCTGCCCCCTGGAGGCGCCACCTATGTGGTTTTCTTTGGGAATTGAACTCTTCGCTCTATGCTTGAAAGGCAGGCGTGCTAACCGCTACACTATAGAACCACAAATTCTATATTTATCTTGCATAAACATATATTTATCATTTATTACAATAGATTTTCATATTTTTATTTGATTCTGCTTTTTGGCAGAAGCAGCTGCAACACCGACAATTTCCTCTGGGGGATCGGTATTATTCCCAATGAAATATTAAGTATTTCTGACTCCAATTTTTTTAATTCCCAATGAAATATTAAGTATTTCTGATTCCAATTTTTTTTTTATTTAATGAGATAAAAACCTCAATCTGAACCTGTGTTGACAGTAATCGGCCTCAGAATACGAATGACGCTCAGATCAGGGCGAGAACGTCGTCTTTAAACTCGCGTCACTCTCCTGATCGTAACACGGCTGAGAAATAGATTGTGCAACGGGTCATGGAAACAGTCTCCATGGCTGTTACTCAGTGATCACCCACTGGTCTGAGTGGTTCACAGATCCCAGAGATTATTCTCCATCTGTTGTCTCCGTGTTATGGCCTGTCTGTGTGAGGAGCTCTGAAGCCGTTCATGACGACGACGGGTCTCACGCAGAGGAGGAAATGAGTCTTTATCAAAAGCTTTCCTGATTCCTCTTTTCATCCTGAAGCCCCTGGACATGAGACTTCAGTTCTAATGAAATGAGGGCAAAAAAAAAAAGAAAGAAAGAAAAGAAAAGAAATAGCCTTTAATTTTCTGTCAGCAGAAAAAAAAGGACAAAAACCAGGTGCTCTTTAAGGAACAAACCGCACCTTCAGTGAAAGTAGAGAAATACAGGATGAAAGTGTCAAACAGCAGGAGCTGTGGCTGCTCTTCTGAGAAGGAGGGTCAAAATTCATCCGTCTTCTGTGGAGCGTTCTTAGCAGCAGAGTTTATATTTAATAGAAATGTTTTACTAAATAAACCACAGCTAGCTTGTTCAGTAATAATACATTGAAGTTACATTCAATCTGAAAAAATATCAAAACAAAATCGTCACTGAACCAGATCAGGGTTCCGTTCCTTATTAAATAACAGACCACCTTAAAGTTTTTTTTTAAGGTGGTATGCCCAGATACCTTAAAGAATCTTTCTGGGCAACATGCGCAACTTATATTTCCCTGCTGTGCGTTGCGGTTGTGTTCCAGTCATTTAGTAATTTTTTAACATTTATGAATTGTGATTGAATTTTCACATGTCGCATCTTGATAAATCTCACCCCGATTTTTGAGGCATTAGCCTATGTTGCGACGAGCTAATTTAACATGTAGCACCTTGGTGTGAATGAGGCACAGATTCAAGTATATTTTGGCAAAATCCAGGCATTGCATCTTCGGGTTTTCATTGTTGGAGGAAAAAACTGACGGTTCTTTACGTAATCGTGCTAATATCGGTGACGACGACGACGATATCGGTCGGCCGATAGTCCTCTGTCCATCAGTGCTGCCTGGGAAATGAATATTTACCCTGTGGCCTGAGGATAATAAATGGGTGAAGTCAGTGCTGCAGACATTATATGGTAAAGGAGGTCAGTGAGAGTGTGAGTGTGTGTGTGGAAGGGGGGGGACGGGGGACGGCAGTGTGTGTGTGAGAAAATAGTAACAAAGAAGACAAAGCTGAGGAAGGAACTTGCCTTTTGTCATATCTGATAACATTATTCTCCGGCGCCATCTAAAGACTCAAATCATCCTCATTTTTTTGTCTCTATTTTCTCACCCCCTCTCACTCTGAGCTTCATACATTAGGAGCTGCAAACGGGTGGGACGAGGGAGACGGTGCAGCGGTGAACGCTCCGTCATGATTGCCGTTGATTGTGAGCGCAGTTTCCATGATTCAGAATGCACCGATTCTCGGTACTGAGCGTGATTAGCCGTGCTTTTCTCCGCAGCACAACAAAAGAAACACGCGGTGCCTTCATTAGAACCGACAGGTTACTCGACATGACACGGACTCGGTACCTGACAATCAGTACCAGAGAAGATGAACCCAGCTAAGTGCAGCAGAGGAGAAAATATAAAAAGCTCGGCAGACGAACGGTGAAAGGTCTGACAGCACTTGACTGAATCCTGTTGTAAAGTTGGACATTTTCTGTTGCCTGGTCTGCAGCTCTGTGACTGTGGCAGAGGAGAACATCTGAACTTCACCTTGGGTTTGAATGGAGTTCATTGTGTTTTTGTTAAAGACGTGAAGAAAAGGGGAGTATTTTAGTTAAACTTTTTTTGAATACTAGACATGTTCACCTCTTGACCCTGCATCGATCGAGTCCCAAATCAAGACCTCCCCCAAAAACCTTTTTTTTTTGTCATCCAAATTCAGCCGGTTCAGTTTCATATATTTTCACCCACATACAGTGTGTTGTCCTTTCCTGGCTACTTTTTTTATTTAAAAGTTAAAGTTTCACTATTTATACTTGTGAATGTGACTTTAAATGGTTGTTGTTTATACACAGTTCTCTGATGGATGGGCAAACCTTTGTGTTTGTACCCAGGATTCACCCCCCCTCCTCTGCCCCTGCCGCCCCTTTTATCTGAGAAATAAAAGAAACCAGTGATCATTCCCAGGGTATCAGAGACACGAAGATTTATACGCTGTGTTTAAAGAAGAAATCGAGAAAAAACATTTAAAGATTGGTTCGAATTTGGAAGAAAAACGTAGGAAAAACTTGTCATTGATATAACACTGCGGTAAAAGAAATTAGCCAATGACTAAATGTTCAAGTTTCCTCTGTTACTTTAACCTGAAACTCTGCCTCCTACTGGGCAGTGACAGCAGTGACAGCAGTGACAGCAGTGACCCAGTTAGAGTTTGCTGCTGACTGGTCACCCACACATTCCCCCGGGAGGATTCCTCCACCTCCTACGTTTGCAGGTGGTTAATTGGATGAATGTTAAGTTAAACCTCGTTTGACTAAAGGTTTTTAATCCCAATTAAAGACGGTCTTCGTCCCCCTGTCCTCGGTGTTGTGTCTCCTACTAATGCCTGCTGTAGAAGTCGCTCCTCGGTGACTGTTGCTGATTATCTCCCTGTGATTCTGTGCTTCATCCGCAGCCTCGGCCACGGCAGGGTGTGTGAGTTTGAATTTGCTCGTTGGCTCCTGCTGGAGAACACATGTTGACCAACTCTGTGGTAATTCCCTGGGCTGCTCACGCCTGGCGGATGATGACGGCGTTCCACTACGCACTCGTTCATAACAAAATGCATAATTGATATGTATTATGTGAACGACCAACGTTGACGATTACAGCGTAACATTCTGTTTGCTTTGGAACATCACATCCACTGCTGCCATAGAGACGCAACGCATGGAGTTCACGGTGTCCGTTCTCCAGCTGCAGTGTTTTTAAACATCAACAACAGCATCATTTCAACCCAGTCTTTTTTCTTTTTTTAAAAATAGAGTTAATGTCCGTCACAGTGGTGTAGGACTTGATGATGATGATGATGATGATGATGATGGAAATACATTGAAGTCAATGACCCGTACTTACGTCAGTGCTGAAAATGACGATGATAATGGTGATAATCGTAGATTTCCTATCGCCCACAGCACTCCGAGCCAATAAAAGGAGACAAAGAGGAGAGAAAAGCTTCACTTTTGTTTATTGATGGATGAAATAACAATGAATCACTTCAGCTGTCAGATACAATGCTTTAAAAAACAACAACAACAACAACAACAACAACACTCCTCAGATTCCTGTACAGCTCTCTATGTTAGAAGAACAAAATCAGAAAATAAACAAAATAAATTAAAGGTCGGTGTCACAGGACGCACGTCTCCAGTTTTGGTTCATGTGTCCAGGGCTTAAAAAAAAGTGGCTGCTGAATTAAA